GTCACTTGTTTGTCTTCAAGCCTTTAAGATCCCGGGCGCTATATCTTTTGATAGCCGGGCACCATCAGCTTTCTTCACCACTTTTGCTTATGTTCACATTTTTCTTCAGCAATCGTTTTAGGAAGGTGTGCATCCTGGAATGCCAATTTAATAGAACAATGTGTTCTTGTAATGAGTAAGTGCTTGAGTGGAGGCCCAATCTGAACTCAGTAATTATTTCCTACTTACCTTGATACGCCAGAGCAGGTGTCCTCAAACTACTGCCAGCGGGCCACATGCAGCCCGCCGAGGACATTTATCGACCCACCAGGTGTTTTTGCCCAGTTTTGTTTTTAACTTCAAAATAAGATAGGTGCAGTGTGCATAGGAATTTGTTCATAGTTTTTTAAAAAACTGGTCCCCTGTTTAAAAAGTTTGAGGACCCCTGCGCCAGATGGTTGTGTCTGCTCCAGCCGAGGGCAACTCCATGGGTCTGAGCGGGCTTTCAGTGGCAGAGTATTTGAAAGCCTTTCTTCCCAGGACCATCTGGGTAGCTTGAATGCACAACTGTAACTGCTGCGTGCATTCACCACCAGCATCCTCCAGGGACTTGTGTCTTGACAACACATGGTAAATGACTTGCGTAGCCCCAATCCACAGCCTGCATGTTATCTGTAAAGGTCCCCATGTGAGCAGACATGGAGGAACCAGGGCTGGGGACTAGGGAGGGAGCTTCTGCTTGTATTTTTAAGACTTGGAGTTTTATGTATGTTTTAAAATCTAATTATTTTTGGAAATTGTAGATCAAAATTAAGCAAAAGGTGTTTTAGTACCTACTATACCATTGACCAAATGACCTGCAGCAAAGTAAGTTGGCAATGACGAGGCTGAATGAAAGGCAGCACTCGTAACAATTGGTAACCATGATCTGTTACCTACATGTGCACACACTTAGGGTACTGCCAGCTGTACACTCCATTGGCAAGATGCATCCAGCTCTAAGTTGGGTCTGCTTTTTGTTCATGAATATAAAAATTTGAAGAACTTCTGGTAACTTACTTTGCAGCTACTTCGTTTTGTTCTAAAAAATGCAAGTTGACAAAAAGACTTGGATATTTGGATTCATTTCTTCCCTGACAAGAACAGCTTAAAACTCACAGAGGATCCTGGTTACATCTAGAGAAGCAGGGTAGTGATAGGGAGAGTGGATGTGGAAACATCAAGGACATTGAGAGTGGCAAGGACATCATGCTACCTACTTAAAGCCACCTAAAAGACAAGACTCTCCACTCCTGTAAAGAGTTAACCCTGGAAACCCACAGGTGTAGTGCTACTCTGCCCTAATGGGACACTGTGAGTCCGAATAAACTCGCTGCAGTGAGTTTGCTGTTTGGTTTTGAGTAGATTCAGCACTACCCTGTGTTTGGGGCTATTTGGATGTGTTGGGTCCACTTAGGCTCTCTGCCTAGATTGAGTGTGCACCACATTTGAAAGTAAATACCACAGTGCCCTCACAGTTGCACATTGGAATGGGGAACAGCTTGTAGAGAAGCAAAGAACCTGATCAGGAATTCTTAACCTGCATTTTTATTTGAAGAGCTAATTTACAAAGAAGTAATGGATTGGGAAGAAAGAAGCAAGAATGGTGTTGTAAAAGACCAGTCTTCAGGTTAGTGATTGCTTTAATTGTTTGATTGCATAATATTTCTCTTCCTCTATCCAAGTTTTAGAACTAACAGCAGCCTGTTAAATGCCTGTTTGACCATGGGGATTTGGAAGCCCCGTGTGTTTGGGGTGGTACCAGTGTGTGTGAGAGAGAGAGACCCCTGGTGGCGGAGGTGGTCAAACATTTTATTGTGCCAGGCTCCAAACTAAACTGCATTATAAGCATTGTTTGCTGTTTCCTTCCCCACAACTGCTCATAGCTCCATTTGTAGATGTATGCCTCCCTCTCTTTGTACTGCCCCATCCTGTTTAGCAGCTGAGTGCCTCACCGCTGAGCCTCCAGGGCTCCTTTGTATCCTTATTGGTGATGGATGGCTCTCTGTATTAGGCTTTGGGCTCCTAACTACAAAATTGGCAGTTCAAACCCACTGGCCACTCTACAGAAGAAAGGTGAGGCGGCTGCTCCTCTAAAGATGTACAGTCTTGAAACCCTATAAAAGGTCACTATGAGTTGGAATGAACTTGATGGCAGTGGGTTTATCCTATCAGTGATAGTTATGCCTATTATACTCCACCTGTTTATGAAAGAAAGTTAGTTTTTCACTCCCTCTCTTACTGGTAAAAAAGCACACCAGAAAATATAGATTATACTGATTATGTCATGAGATAATATAACCAGTGAGAATTTAGGCGCTTGGTTTTAACCAACCAAATTTCAGACTGCAGACACTGATCTCTGAGAACTTGGTATTTTGGTTTTGCTCAGACCAGGCTAAAATTTAGATCATAGGAAATGGGAGTTTCAATTGCCTTAAAAGATTAAGTTGTCAGTTTCCTGGATTCCTCAAACAAAAACAACATGAACAAGGAGCCCCTGCATCTTTTTCTTTTTTGGTATTCACTCCTTATTCAGAAGCTATTTTTAATTGCAGAAGACTTTTTTGAAGGTTGATACTTTTTTCCCCATTAGACCTAGTGTTTATGGTTGTACTTGAAATGTATGACGAGACTTGAATCCTAGGTGGGCTTTTAGCCTTTTGCACTACTGATAATTTTCAGAGAAAGTCAACAACTAGCCCCTGGGAGGAAAAGCAGAATGCAGTAAAGAAAGAGAGTTCAATTCCAGATTCTGAGCCTAAAGAAAGACTCGAGGAAAAGTTAAAAATACATAGTTGACTAACTCTTTGTTCATACGACTAATTAGGATGGGGAGGCTGCAGACGGACAGAGCTGAAAAATGGCCTTAAGTTTCATTGCCTGGAATTACAGCGGTGTCTTGCCTCAGATTTTATGATATTTGGTTTTCTTAGCACAGATGCAGCAGTAAGTAGCAACGCCACTCCTTCTCAGTCATCCTCTGTCAACGACATTTCATCCATGTCCACTGAGCAGACATTGGCCTCAGACACCGACAGCAGCCTCGATGCCTCGACGGGACCCCTGGAAGGTTGTCGATGATCAGCGATGATCAGCAGCAGACTCATCGTCAGTGAAGGGACTCTCACTTACGTGGGCCTGCAGGGCTTGGAAGTTGATGGAACCAAATAGAGAAGCTCCATGTTCTGCATGTAAGAAACACAATGCCTTGCCCTTACTCAGTTCTCCTAGGATGGCCTGCTTAGATTATAAAACGAGGCAGATTATGTCTGAAGAAAAACACGCAAGCCACACCTTTAGAGATTTTGTTCAAGGTCATTTCAGGTGAGCAATTAGAATAGATGAAAAAAAATTGCCATTATTTGGTGATAGTTGTGACAATTTCTCATCATCACTCTCTGTGTAGATTTCAGTGCATGTGACCACAGATGCGTGCTTGGTCTTGCCCATCCAGCACTCTGAAACTCAGTATTTATGCCAAAAAATTCCTCCAGGTAATACTGCTTCTAGATTTCCCTCTTAATCCTCTCAAGTAATTTTGTGTCTGTCCAGAAGAAAAAAAACTAGATCTATGTGTATTAATTGGCCATCATCATATTATCACACCTTACCCTCTTTTGTGGTGTCATCATGGACTCTTGTATTTCTGATGAAAAGGAATATCTATTCAATAAATGATATCTAACTTTTCTTTAATTTGTGATGTTTTGGGCTGAGAATTGGCTAAAACTAAGACACTTACACTCTTTCTTTCTCTAGAGTATCTTGAACTGACATGATTTGTCAATTTAGCATTACTGCATGATAGAATTTAAGTTTTGATTTGTACTGCAGAAGACAAGCACACCTTCCAAATCTTATGCACCTTCCCTCTTATTTCTTATTCTTCAGGGCTTATTATTAATTTAAAGTACTGCCTAGAACTTTACCTTCTTTATTAGGCATATAACACTCCTTATCTCGATATAATGATGGCAAATAGATCCTTGAGCCCATCACCTGATGCTAAAGTAGAATTTCGCAGAATAATTGCTACAAATGATCACAGCCATTTGTTAAGTGCTTGCTTTGAGGCCTGGTTGCCTGGTCAGGTAAGCGTTGGACTGCTAATTACAAGGTCGGTGGTTCAAACCCACCAGCTGCTCCACGGGAGAAAGGTGAGGCTATCTGCTCTTGTAAAGATTTACAACCTCAGAAACCCTTTCTATGTAAGGGTGACAAGAGTCAGAATCCACTTAATGGCAGTGGGCTTTTGGTCGCTTTGAGGCAGAGTCTGGACTGGGTCCTTTGCTTACTTTACATAGTTAAGGTAAACTACATGGTTGACCGAGGAATCGTTTCCCTTTTCTAATATCACACCCCTAATCCATTTTCTTTCTCTTCTGAAAGAAACCAAGTGAGGAACAACTTTCCCCTTCAGTTCATTTTGGGAAGCAAGTCTGGTGTGGAGTGCCTGCTTGTCCTCGTTTCCCACTTGTGGGGACACTCTTGGTCCCCGAGGGAAAGCTTTTCAGAGAGAGGAGGAGGAGGAAGTAGCCCAAAGAGTAGTGATCAACTAGGGACTGTTTTATGCTTTAAAACTGCTCACCTGAAATCGATACTTTCAGACTTGTTGCTATGTAAATGATTCAGAAGTCATGAAGCTACTGAGTATGTCCGTGTCATTGCAGAAATGGAGTTACAGTGATCACACTTCAGTTCCCTGAGCTCATAGTGTTTTTCCTTTGAACTTGTTTTGTTACAGGTTCATATCTTGTGTTTAATTATTTTGGACACTATTTGTTCAATGTTCTAAAGAATGTATTCTGATGAGGGGTTTTGATAAAGTTTATTATAAATACTATCTAAGATAATATGATTCTCTCTGCACCAGTTATATCTGATTGGTTGGTCGTAGCACTGTAAACTAGAATCCTTGATGAACAAAATTAATATTGAAATAAGATATCATTTTCTATTATATCATTAGACACATTTCTAGTAAAAAAATGGAAATACTAACTTGGGATGAGGTAGAATCACCTCTTGTGGTTTGGGATTATTTTGGCCTTGAGGGCCTGGTGGTATATTTAAGGAACGTATCACTATGCACATATAAACAGCTTAAAATGGCCTTCTTTCTACCACATTTTCTTTTAAAAGACTATACTAAATCTGTCTTTAAAAGGAAAAACAAAGAAAGGGGAGATTTTTTTTTTAACCGTCTTGATCTGCCCTGAGAGCTACATCAATGCAGCAGAACCCTGGTAATGAGAGAGCTCGAGGCCCTCACCAGAAGACCTTGGGTGAGTGGAGGGAAGTGCCCACCGGCGAGCCTTCTGCTCGGGTGCCCCGCTGTGCTCTTGGGTGGGCCTGCTGCCATGAATGAAGCTGTGACGGTCGGTCGGGACAGGTAGTCAAGACTGCCTCCCATCAGAGGGAGGTGAGTGCACCTGAGAAAGGCCACTGGCCTGGAGACTGTCTCCAGGGCAGTGCCTAGCCAGTCTCCAGACCCTCTCCTCTGGATCCAGAGTGGTCATGACCCTGGTGCAGTGCGCATGGTTTCAAATTGACCTCTGCAGATAAAGTTGACGGTGGGTAAAGAATTGAAAAATGTGCTCAACTTTTTCATCTTTTCTATTTTATTTTTGTAATTTATATTGTACACGACCCTTGGAAGTAACTATTTTGGACATGTATTTTTATAAACCAGGTAATTTATTATTATCCTGGAATTTGGACTAGGTTTGTTTGGCTTACTGACTTAATTTTTCAGTCACAAAGGAAATGGCTGCCTCCTCTGTGTCGAGTCCTGATTTCCAGGCAAGTTCCAGAGAGCAGACAGAGCCCTGAGAGAATGTGAGAGCTGTTTAGAGGGACTGCGCAAAAGCTTTGGTCCTGAGGAGGCAGGAAACAAGGCTCTGCTCTGACCTTTGGAACGGGAAGTTCGGAGCCCAGGATTGGAGGAGAAAGCCCTCTGCAGGACCCGTAGCTGACATCCAGAATCGGTAGTGGAAACACTGAATGGGATGCTGGTTTAATCAGGATCTAATGCTGTGCAAATCATGTTAACTATGGGTGAGTTCACCTGGTTGATTTTACCGTAATCCTTCAGTATTCATACTGGGAGTAAATTAAGGTGTGACCTCTCAGATTGCATTATCTCAAAAGTAACATTGCCTAAGTTTTTATAATAAAATATATAATGTGTGTTTTGGTTGGTGAAAATAATACAGACTACATTTTAAATGAAATGTATAGCATGTCCAATTTTTGTGTGTTTTTAAGTGACCCTTGACTGTAATTTCTATGTCACCATCTCTGATTACAGATTTAACATGAGCACGGCGTTATGTTGGTGTGTCATGATTTCAATCAACATTATCCAGTGCTGCTTTAACAGAAACACCACAGTGGGTGGCCGTAACAAACAGACTGGTGTTCTCAATGACTGGAGGCGAGATGTCTGAGTTTGAGGTGCCAGCTCCCTCAGTCACATCTGAGGAAAAGTCTTGGTCTCTCTAGCTTCTGCTCCTACATGGTCTTCATGTGGCTCAGGGTCTCTCTTTTCCCCATCTCTTGCTGTCATGTGTAATCTCTTTCATACCTAAAAGCATGGCTCAAATACAATGTACACTAATCCTGCCTTATTAACATAACTGAGACAATCTGTTTCCAAATGGGGTTGGAACCACAGGCATAGAGGTTAAGATTTACAACATATTTTAGGGGAACACAGTTCAACCCATGCATAACAGTCTTAAAGCAAAAAGCATTTCTCTGTTATATTCTCTGGCTGAAAATATTCTGTGAATTCCTGAATTTTGCTTTCCATAAACAATGGCAGTGAATTTTTACTTCAAAAAAATGTGCAATTGCAAAATTGAATATCGAGAATATCATCACTGTTTTCTCATAGAGTATGAGAATCTCCCAGTTAACCATTACTTACACTACATAGAGGACCCCTGACTGCACAGTGGCTATGCATTGGACTACTAACCCACAAGGCCACCAGTTCAAAACCAACAGCTCCTCCTTGGCAGAAGGATAAGGCTTTCTACTCCTATAAAGAGTTACAGTCTCAGAGTCCCACAGGGACAGTTCTACCCTGTGCTAAATGGCCACAGAGAATCGGGATCGACTTGACGGCAGTGGGATTTGTCCCACTTCAACCCATTAATGGATCCTGTGGTTCTGTGCATGAGGTGAACCACTTTCATTTCCTGTCTGCTTTTGAGGCACTTTAGAATGATTGAAACTTAAAATCTCAGGAGTAGCTGAATTTTCTTTTCTCTGCATGAGAAGGACTGGGTCCTTCTAGATTCTAGCTGTCTAGAACATTTCATCTTATTTGAAAAAGAGTTGTAGGCAAAGGAAAACATTTGATTATGATCTGGGTTTCATTGCTTTGTCTTACCTCCCTCCCCACGTGCAAGGTAGACAGTACTACAATACGTAGCACTCATGGACTGAAACGATCTGTGTAAGTCTTGGGGTTTGGAGGGGGGGCTGGTGGTGAGAGGGTGCTGAGGGTTAATACTTCAGAATAACTATATACCAAGAATACTTAGCACTGGCCCTTTGACTCAATAAGGTAGTCATTTAAATTTTGTTTTAAATCAGAAGAGTTGTTAACATTCTGTAATCCAGTGACAGTGTTCAGTCGCATCTCCATCCAGGCGTTTTCTGCCCACATCCAGGATTTAAGGGATACAACTGTCACAACTTTTGGGGACTTGTCACAGGCTGGGACCAGGTACTCCTCCACAAATAGATAGACTAAGGCTTCAGGGACTGAGGGGACATGGTGGGCAAGGGTATTTGTTACTGACACTTTTAGTTGTGGTACTTTAGGATCAGAAGGGAAATTGAAACCTACTACTGTGATCTCAATCTCCCCCCACCTAACACAGCAGTGAGGAGACTGCAGTGGCAGAGAGGAGAGCCAGAGACCCCTGTCTCCGTCCTGTGTGCCGCCTGCCACTCAGTCAGGCAGATCTCACTCTACCCTCCTTTTTGATCATAAACACCTTTGAGAATCTGATGAAAACTATGCTCCTCCTCCTCGAAAAATACGATGTGCTCGGAATTTGTCAAACTTCCAAAGGACTCAAAGACCCCAGTGGATACCATGTGAAGGGCCCCCTTTCTCACAGTAGCTTCTGGATGCTCCATGTTTGGGGAGGGAAACAGAGCCTACTTGCTGCTCACCTGTTTTGCCCTCAGAGGTCCGACACCTGGGCACACACAGATGGCCCAGTAGGGTGAGTAGGAAGTCCTCAGGCTTCACTCTCAGACTGGAGCATGCTTTGCCTTTGGGTTCTTTTCTTTTAACTAGTACTGCTTGGTGTTTACTTGATTTTCATCTGGACTAGGGCTCCAGACACAACTTCTTTAACACAACTTTGGACAGCTCTCCATTTCAAAAGTTGTTGTTTTAGGTATTTTTAAAGAATGAAATAGATCTTTAAAGATCTATTAAAGATCTTCTGGGGGAAAAATGAGTATTTGTGTAGCAGCATTTGTCTCTGGCTGTTCATGCCTAAGTACTCAGAGGTGGTTAACGAGTAGTACTTGATGAAAGAAATGCATAGAGAACAATTCAGGAGTTCGGCCTCTTCTGCCCTCCCCCAGCCCTGCAGCCCACCCTCTGCCACATCCCTGCACCATCGCCCACCCTGCAGCAGCCTTACCTTGTGGGCCCAGGGGCATGTGCCTCACCCTTTAAAACAATCACTCTGCAGTGATCACTGTCTCACACATCTTCAGGTTCCCTCTCTGCTCCATTGTTCCAGACCTTTCTGTCAGCCATATTAAAATGAGAAAACTGAAGTCCCTCGTAAGTATTGAAGAGAGAAATTAAAATCGAGGAGAAACTACACCCATCTTGCCCCCTCTGTTAGCCTGGGTAGACTAGAGAAACAATTTCATAGATACTCAGATGTGTGTAAGAAAGAGCTTTACACAAAGAACAATTGTACATTAAGAAAACATCCCAACCCAGTCCAGATCAAGTCCATAAGTCTGATATTAGCCCCTATGTCCAATAC